GTGTGTGCACAGAAGAGCTGGGCATTCCCCTAGCTGAGCCATCCCCCAGAGAGCTAATCGTAGACTCAGATTCTGGAGCGGAGCGTGTCCCTGCCTGTGTGTGTGCTGAAAAGAGGCTTGAGAGCCTGTCACAGCAGCATGGAATAGTAAGGGAAACCCAGGCTGGTAGGACAGCAGGCTCAGTGGGACCCCAGCACATCTGGTGGCACCCCGAAAGGGGGCCCAACCCATAACACCCCATTTATCTTCGTTGTCTGAACAAATGACAGACCTCTTTTGCCATACTTCTCTCTGCGTTCTTTGATAACACCTTCAGCAACTTGATCACAACGTGCTGTAGTTTTCTTGGAAGAAATGGAAAAATCCATTTCCACCCGCCCTCCACTGATACTTTAAGTACCCATTATGGGGGTCACATCTCCTGTTTCACCAATTGTTTTGCATTTATGTCAGTGCAAATTCTGTTAGTTGCACCATCTAGTAATGAAACAGAGTTTAAATCTGTCGGAGGAAGTGTATTCAGCACAAGGTGCTCCAATTATCTCTGCAAATTGCAGACTGAAGGCAATGTCAGCAAAAAGCTGTGACTTCAAGTTCAAGTCCTTGCTTTCAGTTGTTTTTATATTTACTCCTGGGGGAATTCTAACACCACTGCGCATACGCAGAATTCATGTCCATCGCAGAATTATTTCCCATCCTGCAGAAAATACATTTTGCCCAAGAAGTGCTGCAATTCTGCTGGTCACCCACCAGAGGCCGCTCTAGCATCAGGTCAGCAGCGTTCATCACAGCACTATGCCCGTAGAGCTAGATTAAGACAGAGTGGGGCACACAGGGCTGCTGGGGGGGAGGGGTGTCAGGCTGGGGTTCAGAAGGGCTAGTGGGGGGGAGACAGACTGGGTTGCAGGCTCAGGAGCTAGTGGCATGACAGCACTGAGCCAGAGCTGAATAGGAGAAGGGCTGCAAAACGGAAGTACAAAGTAAAACGTGATAGAAGTTTAAACCTCGGTCTCGAGATATGGAAAATATGCTGTACAAAGCAGCAGACTGAAAAAGTAGACTTAATATCATGATTAATATTTAGACTTAAAGATAAGTGATTTGTACAAGAGAAATTTCAATGGAATGAAGAGGATGGAGGCCAGACTGAAGGAAAGGAAATCAAGACATTATAAACAGATACCCCAGCTCAAGGAACTGAGATAAAAGGGAAAAAGAAGACTGGCTAAAAAGAAATGGAGTTGGCAAGTTGAGACGTTTACCAACTTAACTTTGCTTTTTCCTGAGTTTTCACAGCACCATATTTACAACCTCAATGTTCTTAGCTTGAGCAACTTAAGTTGCTCAAAAATGAAATGGGGCTTGCACGCACCTTCAGATTCCTCATTGAATTAAGCAGGGTCTTTCCCTTGGTTTACTGCAAAAGCTCATTTTACATTTAAAACACAGAAGTTAATGTGCATGAAAGCTCAAAGAAGTGCCTAAAGTGTATTTAGTTTCAAATGTAGGTAAAATAATTTCATTCAAACATGGGGACAGTGTGAAGCATTTTTCATCCAAATTTCAGCTTTAAAATGAAAGATTGGTTTCTGAAGTGCATAGTCATTTTCATGGTTGTATAATGTAATTATACACGAGTGCCCTAACTGTAATTTAGCCAAATCACAACCTATTTTCACTAGGACTCTGACAGTAAAATACTAAACTTAGAGAGACTGTCCCAAATTTCAACTTTCTACCTCATGTTTCTAAGATGCTTCAGCTGTTTAAAACAAGTCTTTAATTACAGCAAAAAGTATTTGAACTCCTTTCATTCAATAATGAACTATTTTTGCTCAAACAAAGCAATTCACCCACGACCAGAGGCCAAACCTAGAAAATTTCAGGGAAAAGCATCTTAAGGTTTCTGATCTTCCCCCTCCCACTAATACTTGTTAAAACAGTTTAGCAAACATGATTACAAGTGCTACTTAAGTTTATGCCCTGATCAGCCTGAGGTTAGGAAGAATAACTATCTATATGAAACAATAAATAATTGGATAGGTGTGAATGGAGAAAGGCAGGTGGAGGAGAAGAGAACTATGGGTGTCATATTCCTCTGAAGCTTCCCGTTTCAGCCAATGAAAGAGGCAGAATACTGGACTGATGAATCACTTTTTTCCTAGTATGGCAAATTCTAGGTTCCTATTACAGAGGCCTATATATTTGTAACAAACTCATGGATTATATTTACTAACAAAAAAGTTAATTAAAGGCAAGAAAAGAGATCATTACTCTATACTTTTTCTATATCTAACACAACATTCCCCACAAAAAGGGGGAAAAAAATGAGTGTATGAATACCTTCAACTCCCTAAAACAAAATTCAGCTGTATGGGCCTGGTTTGCAATGATCCCTTCTCAGAACTCCATTGAATCTAAGGGGACAACACCCACACAGATTAAGGACAAGGGTCTAGATTTCCCTCAAAACATGAATGCACAAAAGAAATGGCCTACTTCCTAACTCTTTGGATTGACAGTACAAAATATTTTGTAATAACTAATACCACCTTATATTTACAGTGCCTTTCATCCCAAAGCACTTTACAGACTGACAGATCATAAAGATGCATGTAACTTCATTCATGTGAGTAAAGTTACATACATGCTTAAGTGTTTGCAGGATTGGGACACCTATATAAATTTATTTTTAAAATAGTAAAAAGCGTGCCTATTAACATTCTAAGCACCTTTGATATAAATTACAAAAAAAAAACAGAGACAGAGGGATCACGTCTCCCAATCAAGGCTAGTAAAAATACCAAACCTGAAAAAAACAAAAAAAGGGAGCTCTCAGTAGCGCAAAAGTTTTGTCTCTTTCACCAATAAAAGATATTACCTCACCCAACTTGTCTCGGTGGTAAAAATAGACTGGAGTAGAATAGAGCAGCTATTTAAGATTACAGAGCATCTTTGTGCAACAGTTTAGAATTGGAAGAATAACTAAGCAGAAAGTAATAATTGAAATTGGCATATGGCTAAAATACTGGGACATAGCACATGTGCTATTGCAACAAATCAGGGGTGCTGGACAATTTGTATAGTGGGGGTACTGAGAGCCATTGAACCAAACTGTAAACCATGTATATGATGGAAACCACTTCAAGCCCACACCCCCAGTTCCAGCACCTATGCAACAAATGCTAAGGTGCAATTTTATATAAACTGTTAAATAGCACACTCTTGAACCTCAAGTAAAACATTTAAAGACATTTAATGCATTTGCTCTGAATGAGACTTTCAAAGTCATATCCGCTCTAGATGAGCACAAGAAATTCCATGGCATTCTGTGTAGCAGTAAAGTTTACTTCAGTGTCCCTAAAATTTCCTTTTCCTGCCAGTGTTGTGCAGCATACTCTGCAACATCCTAGAGTAAAAGCTGTGCACACATATTGGGAAGAGCTTTTGGGAAGGGCCTGTAGATTCTCTAAGATGGAAACCACCACATAAATTAAAGATTTCTGTCAATAAGGAATATTCTTTGTAGGGCAATATGATTTTTATTAAAAGCACCATGCTGTCCCTTAAGTATCCCACTACCCCCTACCACAATTCCCATCTAGCATCCAGGTAGCTAGAAGTGTGGTTAGCAGTGGCTGAGCAACATAGAGACCTCCCTTAAACATCACAGGAATACCATCAACAAACCATCCTAATGTAGATGCCACTTAGCTAGGGCCATACCAAATTCATGGCCATGAAAAAGGTGTCATGGACCGTGAAATCTTGTCTTGTGTGTTTTTACCCTATACTATACAGATTTCATGGGTGAGACAAGCGTTTCTCAAATTGGGGGTCCTGACGCAAAAGGGAGATGTAGGGAGGTCACAGTTATTTTAGGAGGTCACAGTATTGCCACCCTTACTTCTGCTCTGCCTTCAGAGCTGGGTGGCCAGAGAGCGGCAGCTGTTGGCTGGGTACCCAGCTCTGAAGGCATCACCCTGCCAGCAGCAGCGCAGAAGTAAGGGTGACAATACCATACCTTGCCATCTTTACTTCTGCGTTGCTGCTGGCGGCGGCTCTGCCTTCCAAGCTAGGCTCCCAGCCAGCAGCCGCCACTCTCCAGCTGTCCAGCTCTGAAGGCAGCACCGCCGCCAGCAGCAGCACAGAGATAAGGGTCGTAGTACTACAAGCCCCCCTACAATAACCTTGTGACACCTCCCCACAACTCCCTTTTGTGTCAGCAACCCTCCAATTATAACACAGTGAAATTTCAGATTTAAATAGCTGAAATCATGAAATTTACAATTTTTAAAGTCCTATGACTATGAAATTGACCAAAATGGACTGTGAATTTAGTAGGACCCTAGCTATAGCTTATACCATCAATTCAGTGAGCAAAATAACTGGCAAAAGCACATTTTTGTTATTATTATATCTAGACTAGGGCTTTTGCCAGTACAAAAATATTGCAAAAACAAAACCACACCACTAGAGTATATTGATCAGAAAAAGTTTCTAGTGCAGAGACAGGTGAAATGAAAGTGATGCTAGCCTTCCCCATGCCTTTCCAAGCAATACCAACAGTGATTTCATATTGAGGCTGGTTCTGGTCCCCTTTCAGTCATTCCAGGTTTGAGCTTTACCTCTGGGAATCCACAAGTGTTTAGACTCCTAACTCCCCGATAAAAATCAAGAGTATTTATTTAGGCACTTGACTCCTACTGTGAATCCTACCAAGAGACTTCCATGCCTAACTCCCACTGATTTCACTGTTGTGGATCCCACCCTGCTTATCAAGCCCACTGAAAGGTGTTACAGCCTCTCCCTGCGACAGGGTTGCTGAGGAGGAGAAGGAGACTGGCACCAAGCCCTCTAAAACCCATACATGGGAGCGCCGGGGCTGGGCAGGGGAGAGATGTTGAGCCACCTGGGTGATGCTCGGCGCAGACCGCGCCTCTCCGCGATCCCCATGGTGACAGAGGCGAGGCCGAGCCCACCCTAGCCCCCAGACTCACCCACAGGCTGCTGAAGAAGTCGAGCCCCCGGCAGATGAGGAGTCCGGTCTGGGCCAGCAGCACCTGGACTCCCAGGGAGCTGCCGAGGCAATAGAGTCCGTAGAGCAGGGGGCCGCCAGCGCCCAGCAGCAGCAGGAGGCGCCGCCTGCGCAGCACCTGCTCGCCCAGCGCCTCGGCGCCGTAGTTGGCGAAGCAGATGGGCAGCAGCAGGGCGGCCAGCAGCACCGGGGTGCGGGAGCGGTGCAGGCGGCCGAGCCAGCGGCGGCCCAGCGCGGTGAGCGAGCTCTTGAAGGGGTGCAGGAAGGTGCCGCAGAGCACGGCCCAGAGCAGCGGCCGCAGGAAGGCCTCCAGGATGAAGTAGACCAGCACGGCGGCGCCGCAGCACAGCCCGGCGAAGAGCAGCGCCCCGGTGTTGTAGAAGGCCTGTTTGATGGGCTTGTCCAGCCGCGGCAGCGACGACACCGCCGCCGGCGGCAACAGCAGCAGCCGCGGCGCCGCCCCGGGGGGACCCGCAGCGCTCCGCGCCGGAGACTGGCTGCTGCTGCCCGCACCGGGAGCCAAGGAGGAGCCCGGCCGCCTTCGTCCCTGCAGCGGGGAGCCGGGAGGAGACGGGACGCGGGGACTCGCCGTGGAGTCTCCGCTGTCAGCCATAGCTCCCAACTCACGCCCCCTCCACACCGTTAACCGCCGCTGCCGCAAGGGGAGAGCTATATGAGCCGCCGGGGATGCTGGGAAATGTAGTCTGTCTGTCCTTTCCACCCCACAGAAGAATGGCTCGAAGAGGATTCTGGGAAATGTAGTCTCTCTTTCTCCCCCTTCCCCAGGCGATTGTGATGCTGGGAGCGTAAGTTCGTTAGACGAGGGAGCGCAGAGGAAGCCGGGAAATGCACGCGCTCGGGGCGGGGGGAGCCTGACGGTAGTGCTTTCCTAGCGGCGGTGATTGGTGAAGCAGGGGATGGTGGGACATGTAGTTTCTTGCGCATTTACAGCCCAGCGCATAGGTTCTCTCACACGGATTTAAAGGTGAGCAACTGGGCATGGGTGAAATTTTTGCTCCTTTATTATTAAATGCGGCTGGAAAAGTGGGGTGAGGCATTAAGAGTCTTTTATTTCTGTATACACATATAAAAGGTCAGGGCTGCCCAGAGGATTCAGCAGGGCCGCCCAGGGGGGCAAGTGGGGCAATTTGCCCCGCAGGGGCCCCCACGAGAATATAGTATTCTATAGTATTGCAACTTTTTTTTTATGGAAGGGCCCCCAAAATTGCTTTGGCCCAGGCCCCCTGAATCCCAGCTGCCCAGACTAAACACATGAAAAGACCTAGGTTTACAATTTATGATTAAAACTCTACTATCTACACAATATACATAGAGATAAAATGTAAAATCTTAAATATCTTGGAAACAGTAGCCAATCAGCAGGGCGCTCCCCTCCTCCCCTACAGGGCGGCCAGAGCGGCGAACCAAAAAAAAAAAGGGCAGCCGTGCCACCCTAGGATTGGACGGAATGCTGCCCCTTAGAATCTGCGGCCCCAAGCACGAGCTTGCTCGGCTGGTGCCTGGAGCCGGCCCAGGCAATGGGATCAGGGCACCAGGCCTTTAGTTCCAGAATTTGTACTCCTATAATAGTGGGCTGGAATTGTAGAAGTTAAAGGAGAAAAGCCCTTGGTGATCATCCCGGCTTGGTCTATCTCCCTGCCAATGCAGGGCTGATACTTACAGCATGCTTTGTCCAGTCTCCTTTTAAAAATCCCAAGACTTGAGGTTTCTTCTAGCCCTTCTCTTGGGAGACTATTCCACAGCCTAAGGCAGAGATCGCATTTCCAGAAAGGTTTCCCCTGATAGCTTTGAGTTTCTCCCTCTCTGCTCCAACCCTTTCCCCTCCCTGCCCCCTTCATCTCCCATACCATTCCCTCATCTTCTTCTTTTTCCCCAGCACACCCTATCCCTTCCCTCTTCCCCACTGTCTCTTCCCCCCAACCCCGCAAGAGGTAGCAACCCGGATGCCAGGGTGAGGGACTAAGCAAGGCAGAAACCTGTGGAGGTGGGAGGAGAGGCACAGGACAGAAGCCCCCTGCACAGGCAGAGCAGCTCCGTGCTCACAGCAATTGAGGGGTGGGGTAGTGGCAGAGACTCTGCATGCACCCCACACACACCATGCCTTGCCTCTTTTGTGGGGGGGGGCAATGCCCCCTGCTGCCCCTCAAACTGTGCCCATGGACTCCCCTGCCCTTCTCCCAACACTGCAGCAGATTGCCCCACCCACCCCCACCCAGGCTCCCTCTGCCTGGAACGAGACTCACCTGTTGCCTGCAGAGCCAGGCTGGGAACTGCAGCCACACATGGAGCATGCCCACAAGATACAGATAGAAGATGGGGCGACCCCAGGTGAGCAGGGGCTGGCACTGCTGATGGCATGGCGCCTCTGTGGAGCAGAGCAAGCCCAGCCCTCCCTGGCCTCCCCCACCCCTACGGCGCTTTCTTTTGTTAAAAAGTGAGAGGGCATAGCCCTCCCACGCCCCTGCCCCCCACTTTACACAGGATATACCTCTGAGCTCTAATATGATTTTTTACCTGATTTCTCTCAGAGTATCAGAGATATTAGATCTTTCACTCACTACCACAATTATTCCAAAGCTAGCAATTAATTCTGAAGAGCCTGGTGGGTGAATTCTTACAGTCAACCATGATTTTTGCCATGAATAACTAAATGAGTGGTGCTCAAAAGTGCAAGCTACAGACGGCTCTTGAAAAAGATCAGAAAATTGTGAGTGGCCTACAGAGCTTCTTGAAATGTGCAAAGTTTGACCATGTTCCTGGTGAACAACCTGCAGATGGTTCTGTTACTCGTACTTCTGAGCCTTCCTTAGCTAGCGAGGATGTTGATTTGGGTTTATCTGGCTTGTTGGGTTCTGGGGTCTGATTCCAGGACAGAAAGTTTCCTGTTGATTGCTGGTACAACTGTTATGGATGTGGACACTGAAAGCAGTTTGATTACACTGGTCTACAATTTTTGAGAAGTCGTCTGCTTCAGAGATAAAATGTGCTATTTATTATGTATTTTGATGTGCTGAATTCAAATATGACAATTAAAACAACTGATTGGCTACTGTTTCTAAGATATTTAAGTTTTTACATTTTATGTCTATGTATATTGTGTAGATAGTAGAGTTTTAATCATAAATTGTAAACCTAGGTCTTTTCATGTGTTTATGGTTGCTTTACATGATAATATTTCACCTGTCCTGTTTATGTAACACTTTAAAAATCAGCAAAAGGATTATATAAATAAAATTTATTATGAAACAAAAGCCAAAAAACTATTATGTACATAGTTTAGTCCTATTCAGTGTCTACTCGGCGCTTCTTGGCTTGTCTCTTGTATTCATTAAATGGAGCATCTCTTGTCACTGTCCAGCAATAGTCTGCAAGCATTGATGGGCTCCATTTGCCCTGAGAGCGTTTCTCCATTGTTGCAATGTCCTGGTGAAATCGCTCGCCGTGCTCGTCGCTCACTGCTCCGCAGTTTGGTGAAAAAAAATCTAGATGAGAGTGCAAAAAATGTATCTTTAGTGACATGTTGCAACCAAGGCTTTTGTATGCCTTGAGGAGGTTTTCCACCAACAACCTGTAGTTGTCTGCCTTGTTGTTTCCGAGAAAATTTATTGTCACTAACTGGAAGGCTTTCCAGGCCATCTTTTCCTTGCCACGCAGTGCATGGTCAAATGCAGCATCTCGAAGAAGTTCACGAATCTGAGGACCAACAAAGACACCTTCCTTTATCTTAGCTTCACTTAACCTTGGAAATTTTCCACGGAGGTACTTGAAAGCTGCTTGTGTTTTGTCAATGGCCTTGACAAAGTTCTTCATCAGACCCAGCTTGATGTGTAAGGGTGGTAACAAAATCTTCCTTGATTCAACAAGTGGTGGATGCTGAACACTTTTCCTCCCAGGCTCCAATGACTGTCGGAATGGCCAATCTTTCTTGATGTAGTGGGAATCTCTTGCACGACTATCCCATTTGCAGAGAAAACAGCAGTACTTTGTGTATCCAGTCTGCAGACCAAGCAAGAGAGCAACAACCTTCAAATCGCCACAAAGCTGCCACTGATGTTGGTCATAGTTTATGCACCTCAAAAGTTGTTTCATGTTATCGTAGGTTTCCTTCATATGGACTGCATGACCAACTGGAATTGATGGCAAAACATTGCCATTATGCAGTAAAACAGCTTTAAGACTCGTCTTCGATGAATCAATGAACAGTCTCCACTCATCTGGATGGTGAACGATGTTGAGGGCTGCCATCACACCATCGATGTTGTTGCAGGCTACAAGATCACCTTCCATGAAGAAGAATGGGACAAGATCCTTTTGACGGTCACGGAACATGGAAACCCTAACATCACCTGCCAGGAGATTCCACTGCTGTAGTCTGGAGCCCAACAGCTCTGCCTTACTCTTGGGTAGTTCCAAATCCCTGACAAGGTCATTCAGTTCACCTTGTGTTATGAGGTGTGGTTCAGAGGAGGAGGATGGGAGAAAATGTGACATTGATGGTTCAGGACCAGAAGTTTCATCCTCTTCCTCTTCCTCGTCTGACTCAAGTGAGAATGATTCTGGTGCATCAGGAACCGGCAGTCCTTCTCCGTGGGGTACTGGGCGTATAACTGATGGAATGTTTGGATAATGCACAGTCCACTTTTTCTTCTTTGACACACCTTTCCCAACTGGAGGCACCATGCAGAAGTAACAATTGCTGGTATGATCTGTTGGCTCTCTCCAAATCATTGGCACTGCAAAAGGCATAGATTTCCTTTTCCTGTTCAACCACTGGCGAAGATTTGTTGCACAAGTGTTGCAGCATATGCGTGGGGCCCACCTCTTGTCCTGATCTCCAATTTTGCAGCCAAAATAAAGGTGATAGCCTTTCTTAACCATAGTGGTTATACTGCGCTTTTGTGATGCAAAAGTCACTTCACCACAAACATAGCAGAAGTTATCTGCACTGTTCACACAAGTACGAGGCATCTCTGTTCACTTTGGCTAAACAGAAATGTGTCCCTTTGCAAAATCAAACACTGACAAATAAGAGAGCACGACACTGTATGATTTCTAGAGCTGATATAGGGCAATTTGTTCAACAGAGTGATGTAAGCTTCGTTATGATTGCATCATCCATGACTTCTAGGAATAACATGATGCAATTCATATCATGTATGACGCAATACCAGCTTCAGATTGCATCATTCATTGTTTTGCCTAAAAAGCAAGTACTGTCCAAACCCAGTCATAGATTTATTCATAGATCCAGTCAAAGATGTATTTTAGTCATTTCTGGCTTAAATTGAGATCCCTTCCCTTTATAACTCACTTATCCTCCGCCATTCCCAAGTCAAGGGTCGTATATACTGACCCAATAGCATATCTTGAAAACTAGAGCCAATCAACAATTTTAAGCATCATTTTCGTTCTCAGTGACCCAGAATTAGTAAAGTTTGACTACATTTATTTCAGAAGCATTTTGGCTGTAGAGCAGTGTTATTGAAAGCCTGGGGCAGAATTTTGACTTTGACCAGGTAGATACAGCTACTTGGCCACAAGTGACAGATTCTGTTCACTGTTTTTTGGTAGAAAAATGGTCCCGTTGTTAAT